TATTCATCTTCAGGAACATAAAAATAAAATGAAAAAGTCCTTGGATAATACAGAAACATCTGATGCTTATCAGTTTGAGCTATAGTTATAGTTATATAGTTATTGAACATGTGTTTCATTTTGGTTTATAAATTACATAATGTACTGTACTGTACTATACTGTACAATCCTAGTTGGAGAGTACTAGAATAATGCAAGAAAAACAAATTATTCAATCATATCTATCTTTTGAACAGGATTTCTTAGTAGTCAAGAGATCAAATAATTTTAAGACCCCACTATATTACAAAAGGAATTAAAATTTTAACTTTTTAAACAGTAAAATTTGACAAAAACCAATGATAACATCTAAGAAATATAATGAAAGGAAATTAATTTGAAACAAATATTTTTGAGATTCTGACCAAATGCTCCTGCTAATCCACATGTAAATAGAGTATATCTCTATTATTTTAGTATTACTTTTAGGAAGTCTTCTTTAATGTCATAAATTTATTTTTTAAATATAAACTATTTCTATTGTCTAAATTCAAGACATTGTGGCTGTTTCACTTATTAGGATGTTTAGGATAAGTTGGTATAGATGTAAATATTAATAGTCTCTTAGAGAAAGATTTACTTTTGAGGTATCCCATAAAGTCCTATTATTAAAAAATATAAAATTATAGGATATCTGTTTCAAACAAATTTTAAATGAAATTTGAGATGAGGATTGAGATTTTTTACTTTCAAATCAGTTTTTATTAACAGAAATATTTCATTTCATTTTTTGTTTTACCTAAAATGTGTATAATACAGTGATTTGAATAATTAAATTGTACAGTTCTATAAAATGTTCATATTGTTTTTCATGACAAACCATTCAATCAGCACTTGTTTCTTAATACTAAATATCATAATGAGTTAACATTAATATTATTATTATTATGATTTTTTAAAAATATAAAAAATTGCATATAAAAAGAAAATAATTTTAATCTTTAATTTTAAAAATTTATTTAATAATGTGTAATATCAATTTAATAGAATGGAAAATATAAATTAGCAGTACAAAACACCTTTCAAAAGTCAACTTTACATTTTATTCTTTATCAGAGATGTATGTCAATGATATTAAAACTGGCATTTGTCAACCATGTGGTGAACCAAAAATTATCAAGGAAACAGTAGCGACAGCATATGTTAATGGAAATAATTTGCTTGGCCCAGTGGTTGGAAATTTTTGCATGAAATTAGCTATTAAAAAAGCAAAGGAAGTTGGAATTGGATGGGTAGTAGCTAAAGGTATTAATTTCAATATAATTAAAATCTAAGCAACTATAATTCAAAAATAACAAATTTGATTTTATAATATGAAATTTTGTATATTATTATTATTATTTTTTTTTCATATGAATATAAGGATCAAATCATTTTGGTATCTGTGGATGGTACAGCATGTTAGCCAGTAAAGAAGGATTAGTTGTATGTACCTTTCAAAATACTGATTTTAGAAAATTTCATCTTTTGTAAAATCAAAAACTGTATTATTACAGTATTTATAAATTCTACATTGATTAATTAATTTTTAAAAATATAATTTTATACATTATTAAACTTTCAAAATTAATTCTATTATAAATTATATTTATTTTCAATAACTTTGAATTATTTTTAGGGGATCTCATTTACCAACACTTCTCCAATTATGGCAACCACACGAGGGAAAAAGGTTTGTATACAACATCTATTACAATTCTTTTTTCTATAAAATCTAATTTCAAAGAGACTTAACTGTTAGATACAATATTTAATGCAGAATATTTTCACTGAGAATAATACTATAATGTAATAAAAGTTTGGCATAAATAATTTAGTAACATTTAATATAAAGAATTGAATAACAGTAATAATAAAATCAAATTCTTTAAAATATTAAGAAAATTTTTTCTCACTATTAAATTTCAATCTCTTGTAAATTAAATTACATCAAATTCTACATTATTGGAGAACAAAATTTGTTTATTAACATTTCTCAAGTATTTTTGAGTGTTTTTAGCTCATCTGCAGAACTCACCATTACTGTTAAATGCAATTTTCAGAAACAGCATTGTATATATTAAATCCTTAAAATCTTTAATTGCATCATTTTCCTGTTTTAATAAGAAAGACAAAAATTGTATTTGAAATTATAACAATTTTTACAATAATGTTTATTACTATTTATGTAATACAAAATTTAGATTATAAAAAATTAAAAATCAGTTATTTTTCAAGAGTAATCCAATAAACTGAAAACAACATATATAAAATGAATAGTCATATTACATATTCTCAGAATTATTTAAAAATATAGATATCTAAAAATTTTAAATATTCCACTTTGTTCAAAAGATAAAATATAAATTTTTGCTTTTATCTCATTTACTGTTATAAAATTCATAAATATTTAACAACTTGTCCAATCTCTTGGCTTTTAAATCAAGTTTTAACTGATTTGTAATTATTATATGTAAAGTTATTTCACATGTAATTACTAATGGATATATATTTCAAATTAATTAATTATTGATTTATTTTTAATTTTCTTCAAAAGGATTTTTAAAAATTTTATAAATCAAAAAATTAAGCATTTTCTCAGTTATGATTATTATAAGATTTTTACAAGTCAACAGTATTATTTTTACATATCACTATATAAGTGTCTAGAAAAAATCCACATAAAATATTTCAGGCTCTAGATGACAGCCAACAGTTTTTGATTATGCTGCACATGCTATAATTTGAAGGTGCATGGGATGCTGTAGAACAGAGGTTGGCAAATTTTTTGTTACTAAGGATGCAATAAAAATTTTAAAAACCACTGAGGGTTCAATTTTTGAAAAAAAATCACAATTTTGTAATAAATAAACAAAATAATTGTCTTGAAATAAGTATATTTATACAAAATAAAGATTATACATGCACGTAATAACTAAAAAGTGAAAATTAAAAGTACATACATAAAATAACACAAAATAAAATTACCAGTACATATATTTGCACTCATGACTCTAGAGGGTGCATCTGAAATGAGCTGCAAGTGCTGCATTGCTGACCCCTGCTGTAGAACAATTTAGAATATTTTTCTGCAATTGATTTTCTACTTTCAAATTAGCAATGAAAGAAGAAGTTTTGTATCTAAGAGTGAACAACTTTACAAATTAAATAAAACATTAGGGAAAAGTTTATTGTAAACCATTATGCAAATAAAGGATTTTAAAACAGACTATATATTGCATTTTCTGACATTTTGACTGTGGATTATTGTAAAGAAAAGGGGTCTGGAAAAGCAAAAATTCTAACGGAAGCTAAGTTGGAAGGATTGAAGAGAATCTTTGAAAACAGCAACAAGGTTTCAATTTGATCTGTAGCACTGAAACTAAAAATTTCACATGGTGTCTCCACGAGGCTTTGAAAACAAAAATACATTAAATATTAAAAGAAGCCAGATCAAGTAAGTTCCCACTACACCAAAACCATACTGCATTGCTTGAAACAAGAATGGCTTTGTTGAAATGGAGGACAACCTTGCAAAAATGTCAGAAATTAGGATAATTGAGGATTTTTGAGCAATTTTCAAGATTGTCATTTACAAAGTGGAAGGCAAAAAACTTTAATCAGTTCATAAAGTATTGTATAAAAAATATGAACCAAAGTCTTGTAAAGAAACTTGAACTGCACACGTGAAGTTGAATCAACTGTCAATGGAAACATGTAGAATTATAAAAATAAAAAGATAATGTACAGCTTTTCATCACCTTTCAAATGATAATTTAATTCATAGTTTTCTTTTTCCAAGATAAAAACTGTTACACAAATTTGTATGGATTTTTTTCCAGACACCACTATATATGACTATTTGAAACCATTTCATTTTAAAAGTGTTTTTAGAATTTTACATTACATCTATATATATATATATATATAATCGAGATGGGTTGATAATAATAATCTATACTAATATTATAAAGAGGTAAAGTTTATAAGTTTGGATGTAGGAGGTAATCTCTGAAACTAATCATCCAATTTCAAAAATTCTTTAACCAATATTTAGAATGGACCTTCAGGGTGGACATAGTCTGTATATTATTCCGTTAAACATGCATATAAATTAAAAGATATAATCTAGGTAAGTGTTATATTTTTGGTGTCAGCAGTTGGCAAGGGGCAAGACGCATACTTATACAAGATAGGTAACCATGTGGCGCAGTCATGTGGTCAGTAAGATACTCAGTGCACGTGTCCGAACTTGTAGTATATAAAGTTGGGGAAAGTTGTAAAGTTGTAGTATACACGGGGAACCCATGCACATAAGTTTGCTTTATTCAAACTCTTAGTCTTAATGTTCAATTTTATGTTTGAATTCATATTTGTGAATGGTTTGAGAAGATCCAACTTATTTTTCGAATTTAGTAAACTAGAAGAAGAACCCAGAAGGGGTTACGAAAACATTTGTTATTTATCACTTAGTGGTCCTATGTACTAGTTAGTGGTTGCTTTGAATCTTAATTATTGTTATCCCAGTGTGGTAAGCAGATATCTAAAAATTTTCTAATTAGTCTTGGAAGAGGGGGACCTAATTCTTGCACTCAGTGAAAATGGGTAAGATCGACTATAATCTAATAATCTTAATCTTTCCTATTGTTTTTGTTCGAGCAACACTGGGCTCATCTGCTAGTAATAATAATAATAATAATACTGTTAACTGTTTGGGCTGTAAACCTTCAACTTTTAACTGTTAACTGTTTGTACTGTAAACCTTCAACTTTTAACTGTTTGGGCTCTTCACTTATGCAGAGCCCAAACAGTTAAAAGTTGAAGGTTGAAATTTGGTACACAGTTAGGGTACATCATGAGAATGTACTGTACACTAAGAAGGGATTTTTTGAAATTCCCCCTGCGGGGAAGAGGTTATTAACACTTTCCCTGTGGAGAAGTGTTAACAATGGAAGTGTTAAGAGAAAGCAATGTGCAAGATTTACAAGTGCAGATGCAGTTTTTTGCGTTTTTGCAGGAAATTAAACATATTTTTAGACCCATCTAAAAATTTTCTAATTAGTCTGGAAATGGGGGACCTAATTCTGCATTCTGTGAAAACGGGTAAGATTAGCTATAATGTAATAATAATAATCTTTGCTATCGTTACTTTTTGCCCGAGCAATGTCGGGCTCTTCTGCTAGTTATGTGATAATTTTGAAATTAATTGTTATTAATACATACTATTAAATTAACTGAAGACTTTAAAAACTATTTTATGAAATAATAACATGATTGTTATACTATATGACTGTTCATATCATTTGGAAATGTTATATTTTTATTAAAATGAATCTATTTATATATAAAAGATGAAAAACTATCTTTTGACATTAATTAACCTTAACTGAAGTAATAAAATACAAATATACAAAAATTAAAAATTAACAAGTATTTTTGATAAGTTAATCATTAAATATACAGATATCATTAAATTTACAGAAGTACTTGTAACCTTCTATACTAGAACAATATTATATCACTATTTCAATTAATTCTCTCTTTAGAACAATTCTACTATTCAATGCTTGTTTGCAAATCATTCATTTTATTTCACAAAACTTTCATATATTTGGCCATAAATGTGTTTCAGACTTTTCCTCCTTCCAGTTTTGTGCAATTTATTATTATGTNACAAGTATTTTTGATAAGTTAATCATTAAATATACAGATATCATTAAATTTACAGAAGTACTTGTAACCTTCTATACTAGAACAATATTATATCACTATTTCAATTAATTCTCTCTTTAGAACAATTCTACTATTCAATGCTTGTTTGCAAATCATTCATTTTATTTCACAAAACTTTCATATATTTGGCCATAAATGTGTTTCAGACTTTTCCTCCTTCCAGTTTTGTGCAATTTATTATTATGTTGGGTTTTGTGAGTTATACTCGGTTTACACTGGTGGCAGGGTACTATGCCGGACCAGAGTCAAGGCATAGTAACCAAAACAGAACAAAAATTAAAAAACTGTGTCAGTGTGTCTGTGTCTGTGTCTGTGTGTGTGTGTGTGTGTGTGTGTGTGTGTGTGTGTGTGTCTGTATTCAGGAATTTACTAACAATATGAAATGTATTCAATGTAGTGGTCTTCTGTATGTGATATAAATGTTTCTATTAAATTGTAATGTGCCCAGGCTTTTGTGTAGTGTGTGGAGTATGACACCTGTAGAGGAAAGAATGACAGGTATAATAAGAACCCTATCCATCCTCCACAGATGCCTTATTTCCTGGGCAAGTTCTGTGTACTTACTGACTTTTTCAGTGCATGTGTTTTGTACATTGTGAGTGTTTGGAATGGCTATGTCTATAATGTATGTGATTTTATTGTGCTTGTCAATGAGTGTGATGTCTGGTCTGTTGTGGTAAATTGTTTTATCTGTAATTATGGCTCTATCATAGTACATTTTGTGCGTGTTGTTTTCCAATACTGTCTGTGGAATGTATTTGTAGTATGGTTCATGGATGTCTAATAATTTGTGTTTGTTTGCAAGCTCTTGGTGTATTATGTTTGCTACTTGATTGTGTCTATGTAAGTAATCTGTCTGCGCCAAGAGCTTGCACCCAGATGTAATGTGGTGTATAGTTTCTGGCATGATGTGGCATTTTCTGTATTTGTCATTTGTGAGTGTTGTATCTTTGAATTTGTGTCTTCTGTAGTTTCTAGTATTTATGACCTGATCCTGTATGGTAATCACAAATCCTTCCATCTCCCCAAAGAGACATCCCCGAGCTAACCAGCTGTTTGACGCAGTTTTGTCAACAAAATCCTGGCCAGGTCATAAGGATGTTTGCCATGGAATACCTTATGAGCCCACGATTGCTTAATGGTGTCTATGCTTTTTATATGTTGTGTTGTATCCGTATGATGTGAGTGTAAGTTTAATGGTGTTATTTGAGTCTGCTAGAGTTACTGCTTTATGTAACTGTGATTTTCTTGTTTTTTGTAGAAAAATTCTTGCAGTGACTATATTTGTTTGTAGTGAAGGTTAACTATGTCAATCAGACCATGTCTGCCATCTTTATGTGGAAGGGTTAATCTTTCTGTGGTGGATTTAGGATGATGTTTATGCTTATTATTAT